GTATACTGGTCATATAGGTGTAGTGTTGGTGTGGAATATACTGGTCATATAGGCGTAGTAGTGGTGTGGAGTATACTGATCATATAGGTGTAGTAGTGGTGTGGAATATACTGGTCATATAGGCGTAGTAGTGGTGTGAAGTATACTGGTCATATAGGTGTAGTAGTGGTGTGGAATATACTGGTCATATAGGCGTAGTAGTGGTGTGGAATATACTGGTCATATAGGTGTAGTAGTGGTGTGGAATATACTGATCATATAGGTGTAGTAGTGGTGTGGAATATACTGGTCATATAGGCGTAGTAGTGGTGTGGAATATACTGGTCATATAGGCGTAGTAGTGGTGTGAAATATACTGGTCATATAGGCGTAGTAGTGGTGTGAAGTATACTGGTCATATAGGTGTAGTGTTGGTGTGGAATATACTGGTCATATAGGCGTAGTAGTGGTGTGGAATATACTGATCATATAGGTGTAGTAGTGGTGTGGAATATACTGGTCATATAGGTGTAGTAGTGGTGTGAAGTATACTGGTCATATAGGTGTAATGTTGGTGTGGAATATACTGGTCATATAGGCGTAGTAGTGGTGTGGAATATACTGATCATATAGGTGTAGTAGTGGTGTGAAGTATACTGGTCATATAGGTGTAGAAGTGGTGTGGAATATACTGGTCATATAGGCGTAGTAGTGGTATGATGTATACTGGTCATATAGGCGTAGTAGTGGTGTGGAATATACTGGTCATATAGGTGTAGTAGTGGTGTGGAATATACTGGTCATATAGGCGTAGTAGTGGTGTGAAGTATACTGGTCATATAGGTGTAGTGTTGGTGTGGAATATACTGGTCATATAGGCGTAGTAGTGGTGTGGAATATACTGATCATATAGGTGTAGTGTTGGTGTGGAATATACTGGTCATATAGGCGTAGTAGTGGTGTGGAATATACTGATCATATAGGTGTAGTAGTGGTGTGGAATATACTGGTCATATAGGCGTAGTAGTGGTGTGGATTATACTGGTCATATAGGTGTAGTAGTGGTGTGGAATATACTGGTCATATAGGCGTAGTAGTGGTGTGGAATATACTGGTCATATAGGCGTAGTAGTGGTGTGGAATATACTGGTCATATAGGCGTAGTAGTGGTGTGAAGTATACTGGTCATATAGGTGTAGCGTTGGTGTGGAATATACTGGTCATATAGGTGTAGTAGTGGTGTGGAATATACTGGTCATATAAGTGTAGTAGTGGTGTGAAGTATACTGGTCATATAGATGTAGTAGTGGTGTGGAATATACTGGTCATATAAGTGTAGTGTTGGTGTGGAATATACTGGTCATATAGGTGTAGTAGTGGTGTGGAATATACTGATCATATAGGTGTAGTAGTGGTGTGAAATATACTGGTCATATAGGTGTAGTAGTGGTAAGTAAGACATTAGGTAATTAAATAATCACAATGTTATGTCACTGTGATTGATATCTTTGCTGTTGTCAGCTGCGATGTTTAAAATAACAAGCCATGCTTGACACAGTCCCTGTTAGTTGTCAAACTTAAGATATATAATTTTGTTTATAGTAATATATTTCAAACATAAACATGTCAGATATATGGATCCAGAAGTTGATGCTTGATTATGGTGATTTGTTAACACTGAAATGATTTACATTCAGTCATCTTGTATCTGATCGTCAAAGAAGTACTTGTTCATTTTGAATACATCTGTATATCTATAACATGATGTAGAATGAATATATAAAATTTTAAGTCAAATCGTGTCAGAGATACCACAAAATCAATCCATAAAATACAAGATCCGGTTCCAAAATGCAGAAATGCTTTATTTTTGATAAGTTTTAGCACAAAAATGGCTAAAATAGTTAAATAAATATATTTGTATATTTATGACATGATCAATAATGAATATATAAATTTTCAACATAATCAGTCAAAGCACGGCAGAGATATGGCACTAGAACTGCATTCATTGAAACAAAATGGATGCCAGTCGGCCATTTAAAATCAGATCTGAAAAACAAAATGACGTGCATCAATGTCCCATAATGTCCAACATATGCACCAAGTTTGAACAAAAACCATTCATAAATGCTTGATTTTGATTATTTTTCAGCACAAAAATGGCCGCCATTCAGCCATCTTGAATCAGATCGTGATTGTATAATATTATGTATGATGTAAGTGTGAACTTTGAATGTAATCCATCCAAGCATGTCTAAGATATAGGTCCGGACGCACGCACGCACAGACACACGAACGCACGAACACACGGACGCACGCATGGACGGACAGAGTTCATAACATAAGTCCGAACGGGGAGTAAAAATAAAAGCTGTTATAATTATAATATTTGTAGTAGGTAGTCGCAGTCCTTAGTAATATGTAATTGCAGTCATTGGTAGTAATTAGTTAGTATAACCAGATGTCTCAGGCAACAGTCCTTCTTCGTTGTATTATCTAAATAGATCCATATTGCGGCAGTTACAATAGTGTATTTAATATTACCAAAAGTATGTTTAAATATTAATGAGCGAATTGTTTGAGAAGTCTGCCTACTCCCATAATGACCAGGGGCTATTTGAGATGTATGCCGGGACACAAACGACCCCCACAATGAGCAAAGGTCGGCGACAGTATTGTTTACACGATGTATGCCGGGACACCTCCTCCCGACCCGCACAATGAGCAAAGGTTGGTGACAGTATTGTTTACATGATGTATGCCGGGACACCCCACCCCCACCCCCACAATGAGCAAAGGTTGGTGACAGTATTGTTTACACGATGTATGCCGGGACACCTCCTCCCTACCCCCACAATGAGCAAAGATTGGTGACAGTATTGTTTACACGATGTATGCCGGGACAGCCCCCCCCTACCCCCACAATGAGCAAAGGTTGGTGACAGTATTGTTTACACGATATATGCCGGGACGCCCCCGACCCCCACAATGAGCAAAGGTTGGTGACAGTATTGTTTACACGATGTATGCCGGGACACCCCCCTACCCCCACAATGAGCAAAGGTTTGTGACAGTATTGTTTACATGATGTATGCCGGGACACACCGCCCCCCACCCCGACCCCCACAATGAGCAAAGGTTGGTGACATTATTGTTTACACGATGTATACCGGTACACCCCCCGACCCCCACAATGAGCAAAGGTTGGTGACAATATTGTTTACACGATGCATTTTTCTAACATATTTTATTGATTGTCTCTGTTAGCAACAAAAAGAAGATGACCAACTGATTGGCGATGCAAGTCGACATCGTACTTACACACCGTCTGAACCGACAACGCCTGTCCTAGCAGGCGACGAAGAGTGTCATAAAGAAACGAGAAGCAATGCTAGAGGTAGGCAGTTTGCTTTAATTTATCGAAATCTCCCGAGACGAAAAGTTTCAGTCGAAATAAACCGTTCGTTCCGCAATTTGAACTACTATGGAACCACTACTAAGCGTGTATGAACTGTTATAGCAATGGGGTGGTATTGATTGTGGTGTTGTATTATTTTCATTTTCTCTAGAAGAGTGTTGTTTTTGTTTTGTACCAACGATATATACATGTAAATTCGACCCTTGTGACTGGAATATATGTGCAGATATAGAAAACCCGTTTTTTGTCTTATCTTGAAAGAAATCTCATTATGAACGACAAATGATGTAGGGTTCGGCACCCGTTTATGGTAGCGTTAAGGACATCTGCTACGTCATCGATCTAGGAACGAGATGGCAATAAGTTGAATCACTCATTGTCTTAGTTTATCTATTCTATCAAGCTTAGTTATCTTTCCCTCGTAGTTTTAATTCACTGGTATCGTAGTTCATTTGCATTTGTCATATACTGCTGTTCATTTTAAATTCCATTCGCCGCCCACAACAATCACCATGCATCATTTAACAGTAGAGTGACGGCGTGATAGTCAGATAGTCCCGTGTTGTAAAATACATCAAACATATACTGTCATTAAATGGGAAAACGTGATATTGAAATCGTGTCTATATTGCACCATGCAAAGTAATATATTTAAATTATCTGCAGAAGCATGACAAATATTTTTCTACCCACAGCTAAGAAATGTCGGGTCTCATCTTTATTACGCGTGGAACCATTGACTCTCCGACCTTTACAAGTGACGGTAATTGACAGGGTATTCAACGAAGGCATCCAACCTTACAACTCGCTTGTAGAAAGCTATTACGCAATGAAAGAAGCGGAGAAGACGTTTAAGCATTTAGTGGGTTATACAATAGACAATGATTTTGAGACATGTTTTGAACATTTCAGAGTTAGATATCGTGAGTATATATTTTCTAAATATAGACTGCATACAATAGTGATGACTTGTGAGATTAGAGAAGCACGCCAATTCCATTACTGTCGCAACTGATGACATCTATAGAGCTTATTTGACTGAATCAAATGAGGCGTCCGTTCAAGTCATGATACAGCAATATTCTAACTAACATATGTGAAGGAATAGTTCACCATACGCTCATTCACTTCAATTACGCACGTTCATTTCTTTTCGAATATATCGTACTGTGACGCATGTTTTGAAGCCAACTACTGACATTTCGAAAGATTTAAGAAACGCAGCTAGGGTTTCTCATTCAGTTATTAAGGTTCACTTTTTAAGGTTCGTTGTAAATGAGAACTCGTTTTGCTATTCGTTGCACCCATTGAGGTCACTGAAGCGCGTTGACGCGAGGGGGCCGAAATTTTGGCAATAGTATAATGTCCAACCCCTTTACTTTATCTTCATCTTCCCACAGATGACAGTAAACTATGTATTGTCTTCAAAGAAGAAGGTGGTTTTAAATTATGTGTCTTCGGAGATGTCTCCATGATTCCCCAGATAGTGGACCAATCGATACGCACGATTGCAACTCTCAGTCAGACTGTTCATATATTCCTGGATGTGGCGCCGAAAGCCGCTGCCGAACTACAGGAGCTTATCGACGACCAACAGCAGTTCTTTGTCGTTATCGACAGGATGGACATGAAATGGTGGGAAAAAATTAGAGCCAAGCAGTTCATGAGAATGAATTTGAGAAAATGTGAAATTGCCAGGGAATTGGTGAACAAAATGAAAGTCCAAACGGAAGACATTGTAGAAGGAATCACGAACTCGGGGGAAATTCTTTCCCGGGATTTGAGTTAGAGGTGGCGTTACGTCACACATGGGAACGTGCTATCTATGCTGCTTGAGATAAAAAGATAACTGCTACTTTCTTTGTGAATCAAATGGAGGCCAATATCACATGGGGAGACACTGTTATATAGTATATGTATATACGTTATAAACCTCTGCATGCCTAGGTTTGTTATAACTAACCACGTGGATGGGATAAGTCTCATTGGTGCATTACGTCATCTTATATCAATATTTATACATTTTAATTGGATCACCTGACACGTGTCGTAAATCCGGGGCTACCGTTAACTAGTGATGGTCGTGGAAAAAACGGTAGCATGCGCTTCCTCTATTCAATCTACAGAGGCGCAGATAAATTTAGAAAGACGCAAGTCTAACAACAACATTCGATTCTTGTCTTAACGAGAATATTTACAAAGGAATTGTACAAAAGATAGTGGTTATTGTTTCCATGGTTCCATGAATTACTAGTAATACCGCATATCTCTTGTTGTTGTCTCTTCCATTCTGTTTTATAATATTTTCTGTTTTATAATGCTGGGAGTTCATAAACTGTCTTGTATAACAGGGCTGGGCCTGATAAGGGTATATAGACATACATGCATATCTGATATCGATATAGATGTACTCCGATTTAACCACCGTCACTGCAAACCGAAGTCGTGATGTTTTTTTGTTTTTATTTATTTTCTAAAATGTGTCGCTTAAATTAGATTAGATTGTAATGTAGAACATGTGCCAATTGTGTTCCATGGCCACGTGATCAAATAAATTAGCATAATGCCAAATGTACTCCTTACATTACATCATTATAATTTCCAATATGAGCTTTGTTTGATCTATGATGTTATCCTCTCTCTATATTTACAATATATGTATATATATATACATGCCACCGACTACAAAGTATTTTATGCGAAGTTAAATATATTAAATGTGCCTGCAGGACATCATGCTGAAGAAGTTTTGAATAACATCGATAAAGGTGTGAAAATATACTACGCCTTTCGAATATATCACACCCCTGGTGAGAGAACGCTTCTGTAGCGTCAGAATTACGTAGAATAATGTAAGTAGACGATACTGCTTGGTTGTGTAGTCATCTGAAGACAATGAAAACGACACCTGTTTAAATATATTTACGTCATGGAAGGACTTCGTCGCTGGAGGGCGTGTCTTAATGAATGTTCCTCAAGTATTGCAAATGTGACATTTGTGACGTACATTTTAACAGCTTTCCGTTTTTTACTTAAACTATGCACATTCAAATTGTTTTAAAATTGTTGTGTTTATTTATGTTAATACTTTACCTTTTGAATGCCAATAAACAAAACTACAGTGTAAACACCAAGCGGATACTTAGTACCCCCTACATACTGATCTTGTTTGACGTACATATTATACCATTATTTCAAACTAAATAAAAAAAATTAACATTGTTTATTGACGACATTGTCTCAGTTGAATAAATAAGACATTATGAAACAACACGAACACTTAAAAATCTAAAATATTCATTTCCTGTAAGCCGGTTGTTATAGAAACGCTATGATGCAAATACTAGTACATAGAACAGCTATAAACATATGTATTTAAATAAGCGTATATACTAAAAGATCTTTCTAAACACAGAATAATTTATAATTGATGGACAAATACACTTGCGATTATTTTTTAGCTTCAAGTTGCACATGCGTGACTGTGTCCAAAAAATAAAGAATCGAAGATTACCCGTTTCAAGGTATAGAATCTGTTATGATATCACAATGTATAGTAACTGTAGTAGTGCGCCTTCTCTTGATAGAGAGTAGTATTTCTGTAACCTATGACCCAATCTGTTGTTGGCGGTAGCCATTGCTGTCAGTTTCACTCGATGTAAACCAGAGTTGTTTCAGTTAAAGTTAGAAGAAAAGTGATACTCAAGTAGCTGGAAATTGGCGTAAGTTGACCTCTGACTCACGATCATTTGCAAGTTCGGATCCAGACAAAACAAACATGGCCAATAAACTCCCTACCATGAACTGGGAATATGATAACCTAACAGAGTCATTCAGTTGATCCAAACAGCGTATAGATCTTTATTTCGTTCAATAAACAATAAAAGGTAATATACAAGAAATTTCAAGAGTCAATTGAACCAGCCGAGAATTTTAGAATTAGTCGACTCAAATTAACCACTTTGAGACAGAAACCTGATGGATCCCTTG